ATTCTTTCTGAGGCCTCTGTTCTGTTCCATTGGTCTGTATCATTGTTTTGGTACCACAGACATGCTGTTTTGATTACTGTAGACTTGTGACATAGTTTGAAGTCAGGTAGCATGGTGCCTCCAGCTTCTTTTTTTTTTTTTTTTTTCTTGCTGAGGATTGTCTTGTCTATGCAGGCTGTTTTTCGGTTCAATATGAGTTTTAAGGTGCGTTTTTCCAATTCTGTGAAGAAAGTCATTGGTAGCTTGATGAGGATAGCATTGAATCTGTAAATTACCTTAGGCAGTATGGCCATTTTCATGATACTGATTCCTCCTAACCATGAGCACGGAATGTTTCTCCATCTATTTGTGTCATCTCTTATTTCCTTGAACATTGATTTGTACTTTTGGTTGAAGAGGTCCTTCACATCCCTTGTTAGTTGTATTTCTAGGTATTTTTTCCTCTTTGTAGCAATTGTGAATGGGATTTCACTTGTGATTTGGCTCTCTGTTTGTCTATTATTGGTGAATAGGAATGCTTGTAGTTTTTGCACATTGATTTTGTATCCCCAAGACCTTGCTGAAGGTATGCTTGTCAACTCAAGGAGGTTTAGGGCTTAGACGATAGGGTTTTTGAAATCTACAGTCATGTCATCTGCAAACAGGGACCATTTGACGTCCTCTTTTCATATTCACATAGGCTTTGTTTCCATCTCTTGCCTGATACCTATAGCCAGAACTTCCACTTCTTTGTTGAATAGGAGTGATGAGAGAGGGCATCCTTGTCCTTTGCCAGTTTTCAAAGGGAATGCTTCCAGTTTTTGCCTATTCAGTATGATAGTGACTGTGGATTTGTCATAAATAGCTTTTGTTATTTTGAGATACATTCCATCAACACCTAGTTTATTGGGGGTTTTTGGGATAAAAGGCTGTTGAATTTTATTGAAGACCTTCTCCGCATCTATTGAGATAATCGTGTGGTTTTTGACTCTGGCTCTGTTTACGTGATGGATTACGTTTTTAGATTTGTGGATCATGAACCAGCCTTGCATCCCTGGGGTGAAGCCAATTTGATTGTGATGGATAAGCTTTTTGATGTGCTGGTGCATTTGGTTTGCCAGTATTTTATTCAGGACTTTTGCGTCAAATGTTCATCATGGGTCCTGGTGTGAAATTTTGTTTATTAGTTGTGTCTCTGCCAGGTTTTGGTATCAGGATGATGTTGGTCTCATAAAACGAGTTAGGGAGGATTCCCTCTTTTTGAGTTGTTTGAAATAGTTTCGGAAGGAATGGTACCAGCTCCTCTTAGTACATCTGGTAGAATTTGACCGTGAACCTGCCTGGTGCTGGACTTCTTTTGGTTGATAGACTATTAATTGCTGCCTCAACTTCAGACCACCTTATTGATCTATTCAGGAATTCAACTTTTTCCTGGTTTAGCCTTGGGAGGGTGTAGGCGTTCAGGAATTTATCTGTTTCTTCTAGATTTCCTGTTTTATTTGCATAGAGGTGTTTGTAGTAATCTCTGATGGTAGTTTGTGTTTCTATGGGATTGGTGGAAGTAATCTCCTTTGTCATTTTTTTATTGCATGTATTTGATTCTTCTCTCTTTTCTTTTTTATTATTCTGGCTAGGGTTCTATTTTATTGATCTGTTCAAAAAATCAGCTTCTGGATTTCTTGATTTCTTGAAGGATTTTTTGTGTCTCTGCCTCTTTCAGTTCTGCTTTAATCTTAGTTATTTCTTGCCTTCTGGTAGCTTTTGAGTTTGTTTGATCTTTCTCCTCTTGTTCTTTTAATTGTGACATTGGAGTGTCAATTTTGTATCTTCCCTTGCTTCTCTGGTGGGCATTTAGTGCTATAAATTTTCCTCTAGACACGACTTTAAATGTGTCTCAGAGATTCTTGTACATTGTGCCTTTGTTCTCATTGGTCTTGAAGGACATCTTTATATCTGCCTTCATTTCATTTTTTATCCAGTAGTCATTCAGGGGCAGGTTGTTGAGTTTCCGTGTACTGGTGCGGTTTTGAATGAGTTTCTTAATCCTGAGTTCTAATTTGATTGCACTGTGGTCGGAGAGACTGTTGGTTACGATTTCCGTTCTTTTACATTTGCTGAGGAGTGTTTTACTTCTAATTATGTGGTCACTTTTAGAATAAGAGTGACGTGGAGCTGTGAAGAATGTATGTTCTGTGGTTTTCGGGTGTAGAGTTCTATAGATGTCTGTTAGGCCTGCTTGGTCCAGATCTGAGTTCAACTCCTGAATAACCTTATTAATTTTCTGTCTCATTGATCTGTCTAGTTTTCACAGTGGGGTGTTAAAGTCTACCACTATTATTGTGTGGGAGTCTGAGTCTCTTTGTAGGTCATTAAAAACTTGCTTTTTGTATCTGGGTGCTCCTATATTGGGTGCATATACAGTTAGGATAGTTAGCTCTTCCTGTTGCATTAATCCCTTTATCATTACATAATGCCCTTCTTTGTCTCTCTTGATCTTTGTTGTTTTAAAGTCTGTTTTATCAGAGACTAGGATTGCAACCCCCTGCCCTTTTTTTTCCCTCTCCATTTCCTTGATAAATCTTCCTCCATCTCTTTATTTTGAGCCTGCGTGTGTCTTTGCATGTGAGATGGGTCTCCTGAATACAGCACAGTGATGGGTCTGACGCTCTACCCAATTTGCCAGTCTGTGTCTTTTAATTGGGGCATTTAGCCCATTTATGTTTAAGGTTAATACTGTTATGTGCGAATTTGATCCAGCCATTTTGATGCAAGCTGGTTGTTTTTTGCTTGTTAGTTGATGCAGTTTCTTCATAATGTTGATAGCCTTTACAGTTGAAATACTTTTGCAGTGGCTGGTACTGGTTGTTCCTTTCCATGTTTAGTTCAGGAGCTCTTGTAGGGCAGGCCTGGTGGTGACAGAATCTCTCAGCAGTTGCTTGTCTGTAAAGGATTTTCTTTCTCCTTCACTTATGAAGCTTAGTTTGTCTGGTTATGAAATTCTAGGTTGAAAGTTCTTTTCATTAAGGATGTTGAATATTGGCCTCCACTCTCTTCTGGCTTGTAGGGTTTCTGCCGAGAGATCCTCTGTGAGTCTGATGGGCTTCCCTTTGTGGGTAACCTGACCTTTCTTTCTGGCTGCCTTTAGCATTTTTTTTTTTTTTTTTTTTTTCATTTCATCCCTGGTGAATCTGACAATTATGTGCCTAGGGGTTGCTCTTCTCGAGGAATACGTTTGTGGTGTTCTCTGTATGTCCTGTATTTGAATGCTGGCCTGCCTTGCTAAGCCAGGGAGGTTCACCAGGATAGCACCCTGAAGAGCGTTTTCCAACTTCGTTTCATTCTCCTTGTCACTTTCAGGTACACCGATCAAATGTAGATTTGGTCTTTTTACATAATCCCTTAGTTCTTGGAGGCTTTGTTTGTTTCTTTTCACTCATTTTTCTCTAGTCTTCCTTCTCACTTTATTTCATTGAGTTGATCTTCAGTCTCTGAGAGTTTTTCTTTTGCCTGGTCAGTTTGGCTATTGAAACTTGTGTATGCTTCACGAAGTTCTTGTGCCGTGTTTTCAGCTCCATCAAGTCATTCCTATCCTTCTCTACTCTGGCTATTCTAGTTAGCATTTCATCTAACCTTTTTTCAAAGTTCTTAGTTTCCTTTTGTTGGGCTGGAACATGCTCCTTTAGCTCAGGGAAGTTTGTTATATACCCACCTTCTGAGGCCTGCTTCTGTCAATTCATCAAACTCCTTCTCCATCCAGTTTTGTTCCCTTCATGGTGGTGGGTTGTCATGCCTTGGAGGAGAAGAGGCGTTCTTGATTTTGGTGATCTCAGCCTTTTTGCGCTGGTTCCTTCCCATCTTTGTAGATTTATCTACCTTTCGTCTTCGAAGTTGGTGACTTTTGGATGGGGTTTCTGAGTGGACCTCCTTTCTGTTGATGTTGAGGCTCTTTCTTTGTTTGTTGGTTTTCCTTCTAACAGTCAGGCCCCTCTGCCGCAGCTCTGCTGGTGTTTGCTGCAAGTCCACTCCAGACCCTGCTTGCCTGGGAATCACCTGCAAGCAGCTGCAGATCAGCAAAGATTGCCACCTGTTTCTTCCTCTGGTAGCTTCATCCCAAAAGGGTATCTGGTATCTGTCAGATGTTAGCCAGAGCTCTCCTGTATGAGGTGTCTCCCAGTTAGTGTACACACAGGGCGGGTTTGGGGGGTGCGGAGTGGTCAGGGAGCCACTTGAGCAGGCAGCCTGTCCCTTAACAGAGCTCAAGCTCTGTGCTGGCTGAACTGTTGCTTCCTTCAGGGCTGCTGGGCAGGGACGTTTAAGTCTGCTGAAGAGGAACTTCACAACTGCCCCTTTTCCCAGGTGCTCTGTCCCAGGAAGATGGGGGCTTTGTAAGTCTCTGATGGGCTGCTATCCTTTTTTGTAGAGATGCCCTGCCCAGCACCCTCCTTGCTTCTTAATCCTCCCATTGCATTGTATTTAAAAATTCTTGTACTTCAGTTTCTGGCTTAACAGATGTATTGTGTTTTGTCTCACTGTGAAATCTCCTATTCCTGAATCCTATTGGCTGTTTGTTTTTATGTCTCTTCCTCATTCTTCAGGTTTTAACTGGATGACTGATGAAAATATAACTTAAGCTATCTTGGGGCCATTTCTCATTTCTCTGTTCTCTTGCAGCCTATTTATATTTATTCTTGTTCTTCTTTTGAATGTTTCTAGCCATCTGGTATCATGGTAACATGTTAGTAGTAGGCATAGTGGTAGCAGGTTAATATGGTTACCTTTCCTCAAGAAGCTGGACTCTCTCGCTTTGACATCTGTAGTTTCTACTAACTGCTTCTGTCAACTACCTAGAGGTGTTTTTGTCAAATCTTAACTTACTGGTCGGTATCTCTGCACTTAGCAGAAAACCTTTGCATGTATTACGGAAATACAAAAGGGAAAGAGGGACATTAAAACTCACAAATTGTTTGAAATGTGGCCTTAGGAGGTTAACTGACCGAGTTCTTTCTTCCTGGTTCCTGCAGGGTGGACACTCCGCATCTGACCTTGACTGAGCTCCGGGTCCTTCTTGAGCAGATGGGCAGCCTGCCCTGTGCCATGCATCAGATTGGGGATGTCAAGGTAAGGAGGGGCCCGGCAAGATGAAATTTTTGTTAACAACAAATACTCAGGAAGTCTGACACATCAGGAAAGCTTGAGAACCTAATTATTCTAAACAGTCTTCTTACAATAAAAGATTCTTTCCTAGAAGTGGTAGAGATGAGTGTTCCCATAGTGGCTCTGTCTTTACAGGGTATGAGGAAGTATCCTTGAAGACTGAAATAATTAAACACTCTAAAAGAGGGGCCTATATAAGATCTGGCTCTTGGGAATGGGATGGAGAGGTTTATTTATTTATTTATTTATTTATTTTTATGCTTTTATTTTTTCCCTCCAGACGCTAGAGTCTTAGAAAGCTTATTAGAGGGATAAGGTTGTGTTAAAGTAGGTCTGGAAAAAGATATCTTAGGTAATTAAAGGATAAAAAACGGCATCCTATGTCAACAGAAGACCTTTGTTACTATCAAGTAGATGATGTTTTAGGATATGGTTGAGAATAAGTGTAAAGCAACAGGGAATGCCTGTGAGAGAAGATGGGAAGTGGAGCAAATCTTGATGGTTGAGGATGTATGTGGCTAAAGAATCTGCATTTTATTCTATGTCCTTGCAGGATGTCCTGGAACAGGTGGAGGCCTACCAAGCTGAGGCTCGTGAGGCTCTGGCCTCACCGCCCTCTAGTCCAGGGCTATTGCAGTCCCTGTTGGAGAGGGGCAAGCAGCTGGGTGTGGAGGTGCCTGAAGCCCATCAGCTACAGCAGCAGATGGAGCAGGCACAATGGCTCGATGAAGTGAAGCAGGCCCTGGCCCCTTCAGCCCACAGGGGCTCTCTGGTCATCATGCAGGGACTTTTGGTTATGGGTACCAAGATAACCTCCAGCCCTGCTGTGGACAAGGCCCGGGCTGAGCTTCAAGAATTGCTGACCATTGCAGAACGTTGGGAAGAAAAAGCTCATTTCTGCCTGGAGGCCAGGTGGGGCCTAGCATCCTAGCAGCTCCCTGTCTGTATCTTGACTATAATCCTCAGAATTTGGGGGTGATCCAAAGTATGATCTCTATGGGTACCCTTGCGTACCAGACTTCCAGTTGGACATCTACTAAACTCCAAAGGATTGGCATGACATGCCATCGAGTCCCATCTAAATGATGTGCCATGCTGATGTTTCAGTGTCATAGAGGCAACAATTGGGGAAATATTCCTTGGAAGATGTAGCTTTCAGGTGAATGGATGCAGAATGTGACTTACAAGAGACCTGTATGCCCCTTGCAATGCTAGAAAGTTCCTCTGTGTGGCTCATTTACTCTGTCACCCTTTTCGTTGCTTATGCTTTTATCAAAGAAACCTAGGACTAAAAAGGGGAGCATGTATACCGGTAATATGTAATGATAGGTTTCTCTTTTTCCAAAAAAATTCTAGGCAAAAGCATCCGCCAGCCACACTGGAAGCCATAATTCATGAGACAGAAAACATCCCTGTTCACCTGCCTAACATTCAGGCTCTCAAAGAGGCTCTGACTAAGGCGCAAGCGTGGATTGCTGATGTGGATGAGATCCAAGTGAGGACCCTGCCACCCCCATCTTCCACCCCAGGCCTTCAGTCCAGCTGGGAAGAGATGGCATATATACTGGGATGTGCTGGGTTGCTGGGATGGGTTGGGTTGGCTGGAGAGAGTAATGGGCATGGCATGTAGTCAGGAGGCAAAATGTGCCTGATGAGCAGGGTGAGAGGAAGAGTGTGAGGCTGGCCTGAAGGAAGAGAGGGCAATGGTTGGGATGAGAATGGTGGGCCAGGGAAACAGGTGGTATGGGAGTGAGCAGGGCAGGGGCGTGGCGGAGAGAGGAGGCAAACCACAACAGAAGGCTGACTGGATACTTGGGGCTGAGCCAGTCAGTAGATGCCCGAGTTGTGAGAGAGAGTTAAGTGGGTGTTCCTTAGGATGACGCCTGTTTTTTTCTACCTCAAGACTGAGCCCAGTTCATGTTTCCAGCTCACGGCCAGGCACAGAGTAAGCATCAGTAGCATTGGCAAGTTGAACTGAGCTGTCTCTTGCCCTTGTCCCTAGAATGGTGACCACTACCCCTGCCTGGATGACTTGGAGGGCCTGGTGGCTGTGGGCCGGGACCT